GAAGGCCGCGGCGCTCGACGGCAGTCTGTCCCACAATCGTGCCGGGCTTCAGTCGGTACATGTTGCGCATCGGATTTTCGAACCGTGCCTTGTTGCGCTTGGCGGACTCGGCAATCGCCTGCTTGACGATGCTCCGCGCCTTCTCAATGTCGGTCTCGGACGCGGTGTTGAGAAGAGGCGTGACGGGGTCAGGGCCCGGACCGGGCTGGGAAGCTTCGCGCCTCCGAGTCTCGCCCGAGGGGGCGCTTTGGCCCTTGCTTGGTTTGGGCTTATCGGCCATCGCATAACCTTGGGTAGCCCCGTGCTGCCGGACTGCTCCAACCTCGAACCAAACACGAAATACTGCGTCATCGGGTGTGAGTGTCGTAACCTTGCCTGCCTACCCCTTACTACCTGATGTACCTGTCCATCCCCCGACGACTCACGACCGACTGACGCCAACGTACAGTTGTTGAGCCCCTTCGCTCTACCGACGGCTTCTGTGGCCCTCAGCACAACAATGCCACCTGCCTGGGGACCGAGGCGCAGTGTTGCAACGCGGAAACATGGACCTGCGGCAACACCGAGTAAGGAGCCGAGTCACTCCAGACTATCCCCATCTCTCTTCAGAGCCCGGACTGACCGCCCCCACAGAGAGGATTGCGCCAACGGCACTTGCTATGAGGGAGACTGCTTCGGCGACAAGGAGTATAGCACCGATGGTACTTGTGGCTGGCAGCACGGCCGCCGGAAGTGCGCCGGCAAATGGGGAGATTGTTGCCACCACGACGGCACCTGCGGCACCGGCACCGCCTTTTGCGCCAAGGGGAACTGTCAATCGGGGAACTGCGACTGGGATGCCATCTTCGCAACCACTTCGGCGCCGGCAAGCAGCAGCAGCACCACCACCACCGCCACCTCTTCCTCTTCCTCCACTACCACCACTGACCCCAGCGCGTGGCCCACCTTCACGATTACCGACTGCGTGGGCGGCACAGGTACGGACAAAACAAGCAACGTCCTCTGTGATCTGACCTGCCGCCGCGGCTTCTGCCCACTGTTGGAACAGCTGATTTGGGCGCCTGAACGGAGGGCGCCTGAACGGAGGGCGCCTGAACGGAGGGCATGGTTGGCCAATCACGGCATGGCATTCGACTCACTGCGACTTACAACCTCCTCGTCCTCGGTTATCATGAAATCATTTTTAGTCTAGGACGATTGGGACCTTTTTTCATAGATCCCTCCCTTCTCTGAATCCGTCACAGCCCGCCGATATGTTCTTTGAGCGGCTCATCCGCTTCGAAAGCGAAGAAGACGGCACCAGCAGCTCCTACTTCGCCGATGTGGATGGATTGCCGCCACCGGGATTGAAGCTGGTTGCTTTCAACGCGGTCGACGGTCTCATCAACAAGACGGGCAGGAGGACAATGACTATGGGGCGGGTATGTGTCTCATCCCATTGCACCCCGGGCTGAGACGGGAGAATGTCTCATCCCACCATCCCACCATCCCACCATCCCACCATCCACACCGCCCGAACGGGGCTGGATGTGGGTGGAAAAAGCAAAAGCACGATCTAACCGACCGGTTGTGACAGCTTCTGGCGCCGCTTCCCCACGACGAATCCCGATATACTGCGTGGGGCTCAACTACCGCAGCCACGCCAAGGAAGCCGGTGTAAGTGGGAGTCTTCCCAGGGTGTCGGTAAGGGATATGTGGCTGATATGCTGGTGATGGACGGTACCAGCTCACAATCCCCTGTGGACCAAGCCGGTGGCGTCGATCGCCTACCCCGGCAAGGACATCCCGATCAGCGACTTTTGCGCCAAGAGCCTTCTGGACTATGAGGTGAGCGACGGGCCGACCTAGCGTCCCTGAAGCCAGTTTCGTTAACCGACCGCCTCTCCAGGGCGAGTCTTCGTCACCTCCAAAGAATGCCGGGACCTCACCCAAACAGGCCAAGGACTACATCCTTAAGAGTACGGAATACCGTGATAAACTCTTCATGCATGCGGGTGCATGCCAGTTCCAGGGATTGCCCTTGCTTCTCCTCGCCCGCGGCAGGCAAGAAAAGAGGGCTTAGCGTTCGTCTGTTGGAGACATGTTCCCCATCCCGCCAATCACCCACCTCCCGAGTGCCCATGGTGGTGGAGCTTGGAACCAACAGCCCCCCTTTTCTCATGGCATCTCCACCTCCACAGGCTTGCCTCCTTTTTAACCACAGATTTGCCATCCAGTACCCAACGAATCAGAGGATGATTAGCTGCCTGCCCGGCTAGCTCAATCGGTAGAGCGTGAGACTCTTATTCCAAGAATTCACACATCTCAAGGTTGTGGGTTCGACCCCCACGTCGGGCTCAATTCCCGTCTGAAATCTGGTTCCCTCTCTTTTTTCGCCTGTTTCTCAGGCCCACCGCATGTTTTTTGGTGGGAGTGAGTGGGGGGCCGCGGGCACTCGACCACTTCCCTTTCGCTACGCCCCCTTTCCTGGGCGCCAGCGGCTGATACGAGGACCGTGGGCTGCAGTACCCGCGTGTGTCCAGGCGAAGGGGAGGGAGGGAACCAGTTCGTCGCAGGCACGAACTGGATCGGACCTGACGCGGCGTTATCCACTCCAAAAATCCCCCCCCACATGAGGACTCCGACTCGGCGCAGCAGCCCCAGCACTGACCCCCTCCTCCCTTTCCTGCCCTTCTCCCCGCCTCTAGCAGCATCTCAAACACGGCCCAACGCAACCAACTCGTCATGACCTGCATAAACGGCCCTGCACGCGTTATTTGGGGGAGCCAACCTCGGCTTGCGCACTAGGGGAGATAGAACGACACAGCTGGTAAGGAGGGCGGAGTGGGGGGGGGGGGGGGGGGCACGTTTCGCGAGACAGACGGGGGACGGTGCCGGTGCATACGGCTCAGTCTCGGCAGCAGTGGTACTAACTCCTATCAGACTCGGCCCCCCTGCGACACACCAGACGTGTCCATCCATCGCGAGACGGCGAGAGCGGGGAGGCGATAGAGAGAGGAAGCATGACGGGGAGGCTGGTGGCGAAGGACCCCGCTGCTGAATCGTGCTTGCTGCTAACGTTTACCCTTGTTGCGTGCGGCTGGCGGGCGCGGAGCTGGTTCCAAGGCCACGCAGCGCCAGGCGAACCGATCCGCTGCCTTCAGGTTCCGCCTGTTGGGGCTCCATGGGTCGATCTTGCTGGCGGGCGGCGGGAAAAGTTTTGGAGAGTGATACCCAACCCGCGGTGCGAGATGGGATATCGCCTCGCTGTTGCCGAGTGCTGCCGTGCGCGATCTGCCACGTGATGTTTGCGCGGTTGACGTGCTGGTCAGCTGGAGGGAAGAAAAAAATGCAGATAGGGGGAAGAAAACACCATCGAAATTTGTCTGTCCGCGTGCGATGCCAGTGTTTGCTTTTAGATGCAAGGCAGTCCGAAGGCGCCATGCTGTCTGTGGCTTTGGGACGCCGCTCAGATCTTCCCCAATCTTCTGCTGATGCCAGCAGCCAGGCTAGGGTTTGCGCCAGGGGGGCGTTCCCATTGGTCTTGCTGATGTCAAGCTCGCCGACTTGGGAAGTCGGAACAAGCAACAGCCTCCAAAACATCCGATGGCGCAAGTGCCGTGTGCCTGTTTCAGTTCCCAGGTCGACCACCATTAACCTTAAGACCACACTGCCCACCGCCTCGGAGCGCGTGTCGCGATCGCGGGTGGAGAGGCGAGCCGCGTCCGAACATCGATTTGGACGGGCTTTGACTAACGCCAACTCCCCAGCTGGCTAGCTTGACAGCGGACCCCCTGTGGGCGCGGCATGGGCGGAAGCTGGGGCGTGGCCTAGCCATGGCGGGCTCTGGAAAAGCCAGCGTCGTGAGGCGTCTGGACTCGATAGTGGACAGAGAACCGGCTAACCTGTCATCCCATCGGGGTCCGCACGCTGATCGGCCTTCAGGGTGCACCTGAGCTTTGTTAGCTCCCACCTCGGGCCGCACCAAGGCGGGGCGTTGCGGGACACCACCAGGGCACGGAACCAAGGCGCGGAGTGGACGGAGAGGCACTCAACCCGCGGCTGGCCCGAGACCTCCTGACAAACCTCGAGAACCCTCGGGCGCTGCAAACAACGGGGCCCTGCTTCGCTCAGCGGGCCTGACCCTACAGGGCTGACATGCAACCCCTGAAGACACCAGCCAACCACAGGCTACATTGCCAAGCCCACGCTCTCAGGAGCAAATGCTCTGGGCGAGGAAGGGGGCGTGTGGTCCTGTTGGACTGAGGGCATGCATCAGCGGCACGCATTGCGCATAGCGGATGCGCCCAAAGCTGTCCACCAAAATCGTCGCCCTCCCCTCCTAGCCAGCCGCGATTGCCTTTCTTAAGGGGGGGGGGGAGGGGGGTACGCCGCTTGGCTGGCTACAACAGTGCTCCCTCCCCCCCCCCCCCCCTTCTGCCGCAGCAGCAGGCCAACAGGTCGCCGCGGATACCTGGACAGGAGGCGACTCACCACACGTGCTCATCTCTGGGAAGTTCCTTCAGTGGCAAAGAAAATATGCACTTGCGCGCCGGTGCCAAGCCCCCACTCCTCCCCCGACTGGACCACCACCACCACGACGGGTATCCAGTTGACCATACTGCCGAGAGACGTTGAACCGACCCATCCTCCACCCCCCCTACCTTGTTCTCCACTGGCCCTCCGACGTGTTAGAAGAAGAAGCAACTCAACACCGGGGCTCCCACTCAAATCAGTCACGGCGCCACCCGAAGATCTACATAGGTAGTTTCGAGACCCCACGCCCGCCCGCCGAGCAAGCAACACACAGGTTCCAGCCAACCCCAAAGCCCGCAACACGCACGCAGGTTGCAAGTATCCCCATGTGCCCGACCGACCCCACGGCCGCTCCCTCTTGGACACCGACACCGACACCGACGACGACGACGACGACCAACTGCACCACCAGCACGTCCACGTCCACGTCCCCACCACCACCACCCACCACCACCGACCCCGAACCATCGCCACCCCGCCGCTGGGCCGCCAGCGTTCATGTGCACTGAATACCACAGTGTATGCCCAGTCTGCGGGAAGGACTACCTGGTCTATGTCGAGTTCTGCAAGGACTTCCACTTCCCCCTGTTGATCTGCCCCAACGGCACCAGCATCGCCCATATCGCCATGGAGGAGGCAGGCTGTCCCAGCCGCATCTGTCCCAACGGTGTCGGAGGGGGTTGCGCCCTGATGTAGTCGCGGGGGAGTCCACACTTAGGCACGGCGGCGGTGGTGGTGGGGGAGGGGGGGAAGACGTGGACGTGGACGTGCTGGTGGTGCAGTTGGTCGTCGT